CGTTAGTCACTACTCATATCATACTAACTAAGAATTGACCAATCATAGTCGAATATTTGTCTTATATTCAACTGTGATTGGTCAATTCTTACGATTTACGGCTTACAATCTGACATACGACGTATTGTAGACAGCCTTTAAAAATCGATTATGAGTACCGGCCTATAACTTTGTTGTTAATTTTGCGAATCGGGTTAAATCCTTTTTCAGACATATTTTCCATATCAAATACTTGCAAAATATGTAAAAACAAAAAAATCGATTTTTCCGATCCGCTAGACTAGAATACCCCCTTAACGTGCGACTCAGCACATATAAAACATTTTTAGTAGCTTATTTTTGTCTGTAGTTTAACATATCCAAAGCTCATTAAAATCGGAGGGGGACACTTCCCTGTGTTTCCCTTGTCAGAATGTCATCAATCCTAGGAATTGAGCTTCTTTTAGTTGAGGATTGATTGCAATTTTATAATCGACACATAGTCAGACGGAGCCATCTGATTTCAGTATGACTACCAAAGGAGAACACTAATCGACACATTAAATAATACCTTGAGCTTCTAATGTATCGAGTTTATTATCGACTTTATTTCGGATGGCAAATGGAACATCGCGAGCTTTTAGAAATACCGGCTTAGCTTTTTTGCGTAACTTTAAGGAATATGTGAAATTTGGAATGTATCCTACTTTAGGTTCAAAGATGTCTTTGAATTATACTAGAATAATATTTATATCATTGTTATATGCATTTAGAAGATAAACAGATTTCGGATTCATGCGTTCTCGAAAATACTTTGTATCAAGTTTGAGTAAATTAATCTTGAGATATCCACGTTCTACCAAGTAACGGAGCCCGTTTGAAACAATGAACAGAATTTCATTTGTTTTAGAATTCTTATATTCGATTGGAACTTTTATGACATATAGTTGAAAATTTTCCTCTATATATGAACGGAACCGGATATTCGTTGGCTGCATTGGTATTGACAGCTTGAGTACATCTAAACAGCTTTTTGGCAAAAGCATAAATCCTGCTCCCGAATCCACTTCAAAGAAAGAGGGTCAATAAGGCCGATTTTTGGGCTCGAACGTCGCATCTTTTCGATTGTATTTCTTGAAAGTAGATGTCAAGAGCTTTCCAAAACACCCTATAGAAACCCTTTTACGTTGGGTTAAGTAATAGTTATGATGGATCACAGTTAGAGTAAAATTGCTGAATGGGGAGTATAAGTTTAGATCACAAAATGTTTCAAAAAAAGGAAATTTTTTTGACACTGCTTACTTAAAGGTTTTTGGGGGGTCGCTGATTACGAATCTGATGTCAGTTTTCAAAAATCCAAGATGGCGAATCCAATATGGCGGATGAGTTTTATAAAAATTATTCGAATTTGCCTGAAACTTGTTACTCGGGGGATTTTGGGGTCGTTGATCACGAAGGTGATGCCAGATTTGCAAAAGATTGAATACGTGGGAATTTGTTGATTACAAGTCTTATGTCATTTATCAATGGACCTAGTTTTTTCACCCTCCTCTTTTCAAATACGGGCTTGGGACCGTCAATGGCAGAGTTAAAAAATCACCATCAACAACATATGTGATTCAATGTTCT